AATATTTATAATTAATTATAACTAGTTATGATTAATTATTCATATTTCCCTTATGAGCTGATTCGCTACAAATTGGTGGAGAATGCGGGCATGATAAAACGATGGTTATGACTAATTATAACTAGTTATGATTAATTATTCATATTTCCCTTATGAGCTGATTCGCTACACGGTTCTGCTAATTGTTGACCGAAATGTAAAAAGAAATGAATTACAGTAATTAACGGCAAATTTCAGCTACACAGGACTGAGTGGTAAATGTTTTGACACCGCAATCAAAAGGCATCATTAGTCGTCTTCTTTTGATGTGCCACGGTATTCATTTCTTCTTTAGAACGCCGATCACTTCTAATGGAGTCTTGAAATTGGCACTCTGGCTAAAAACCCGGTGGGAAAAAGAGCCGAGCGCATTTCAGTCTGCTATTTAAAAACATAAAACACAACGAAAGCGGATCTAAATATTTATAATTAATTATAACTAGTTATGATTAATTATTCATATTTCCCTTATGAGCTGATTCGCTACACGGTTCTGCTAATTGTTGACCGAAATGTAAAAAGAAATGAATTACAGTAATTAACGGCAAATTTCAGCTACACAGGACTGAGTGGTAAATGTTTTGACACCGCAATCAAAAGGCATCATTAGTCGTCTTCTTTTGATGTGCCACGGTATTCATTTCTTCTTTAGAACGCCGATCACTTCTAATTGAGTCTTGAAATTGGCACTCTGGCTAAAAACCCGGTGGGAAAAAGAGCCGAGCGCATTTCAGTCTGCTATTTAAAAACATAAAACACAACGAAACACAGCCCAACTCATTTTCCCGACTCGATATCTCCCAGTGACACATTTGTTCCTCGGGTGATGCCAAATTCACATTTTATGCAAATAAAAGTGTCTGTGTGGAAAGAAAAAGCCTGCCCTTATCTGTCAACTTTTGACTATTAACCTCGGTGACAGGCACAGGCAGGTTCCTCTTATCTAAATAGAAAAACAGAGTTATTTGAATATTGGAAGACGAGAAATGCAATATGCTTCTACCGCAGAATCGCACGCATTTGCCCTCTATTGCTCCTCTGAAGAGATAAGACAGTATTTAGCCCAATGTGGACACAGCTTACAAGAACAAAGCGATTGAGGGAAATAATTTGACTCTTTTGAAAAAAAATTCTGCTTGCTTTTAATGTAATCTTTTAATGGAGAACAAAGGGATGGTGTGGTTTTTCCCCCTGGCAAGTGTTATTAAATAGACAGGTCTGTCGGACAGACTTCATAAACTAATTTTACAGCACTAGGGACTAGCACTGTATTATTGAACTCAGATCGCAAACCGTGTGAAACTATGTTTTATTACTTCCAGTTAAAAAATGCAGTACCTGTCAAAAGTTTGGAAACATTATGATTTTTAAAGAAGCCTCTTCTGCTCACCAAGCCTGTGTTTATTCGATCAAAAACACAAACATTTGAATGGTAGCATATCATGGTTTTTGCATAAAAATGTTTTTTAACATTGATAATAATCAGAAATGTTTCTTGAGCAGCAAATCAGCATATTAGAATGATTTCTGAAGATCATGTGACACTGAAGACTGGAGTAATGATGCTGAAAATTCAGCTTTGATCACAGGAGTAAATTACATTTTTACCATATATTAACATAGAAAATACTTATTTTAAATTGTAATAACATTTCACAATATTACTGTTTTAAAAACCATAATGCTTCCAAATGTTTGACAAGTACTGTATACATATTTTAATTTGATTCCTTGCTTATTATGCCAGAAAAAAAAACACCTTCATTGCAAGAAACCTTGGCAATAAAATATTTTAAAATGGGTTAATAAATCAAACAATCTAAAATATGAAAAGAATACAAATCGCTGCTGCAAGCAATCAATGAACCCAAACGCATTTAGTAAACCACTGAGTCTGTGAGCATTCAGAAATATCCCTTTAAAACCCAGGTCCCATTAGAGAAAAATGCCCAGCGAGGACGTCTGGAAATTCATTTGGTCATGGGAGAAATGAATAGTGAAAGTTATACACATGCTCATTGGCTGTTTGTTTCCTTTCGGGTCTTTGAGGGAAGGCCTGACCTACTTACAGCGGGAGGATCTCTTCTGTTAGTCTAATCTTCAGAATAACACAAGTCATCCTCATGAGACCCGCTGCCTTGTTTCTCTACTGAGTTCTGTCTATAAAGTGAACCTCAATTGGCGGGCGTCTCGTAATATTCTGGGCCAGTCATTGTGCGAGACAACTGATGAAATTGGCATTGACATTGTGTCAGGTCGCCTTTACTGTGCCTGCGCAATTATAGTAATAGCTGTGATTACATGAGTTGCCATTTTCAATATGAAGAGAAAACAGGAGGTTAAGAAAGCAGATGATGAGGCACAGGCTGGACTAAATAATCATCAAACTAGACTGTTGTGTTTACATACACAAGCAAAACTCACTGCCCTGATGCGCTGCAGCATTTTATGTGCTGTTTGCTAGACTACGCATAATACAATGCTTTTAGTCATAATCTGTGTGTGTTTAATGCATACGTTTACCTCACTTACTGTACGTCAAAACTAGGCTAGGTTGTAATTTACGCACAACTGGTGCAACCGGCCCCTAATTCATTTCGAGATTAATACGAGGACAATGTGGACCTTGAATGATTCACTGTGAGTCTGGTAATGCAAATGTGAATTATTTTGACTGACTCATTAATAGAAAGAAAAACGGTTCATAACAATCTGACTAATCAGACAGCTCAGCTCGTGCCATATTTGTCGCTGCACACAGAAATCACTGGCACACACTCTAATGAGACTGAGATTATGTTGCCATGCAGCTTCTAGCGGTTGCTAGGGTGTTACCAGAGTATTTTCAGTCGTTGCTAGGGTGATCGGTTTCTTACAGGGACAAGCAAACAGCATTGCTGCATCCCAGTTCGCCTACTTACACTGTTCTGTTCTTTTGAGTGTGTAGCAGAAAAAGTGAATGACCAAATGTATCTTTATTAAAGTTTGCAATGTTGTTGCAGATGAAATATAATGTGGGTAACATTAAATAATAATTTTTTCATCAGGTTAGATATTGAAACGAAAACCTTTTTCCTTTGCACTTTTTAAAAGATTCATGTGTAGACGAAAATGTTGTCAAAACGATCCCCGTTCACACGGATCAGCGAAAACGATTAAAATCCCTGTATTATGCATGCCAGGCCAGTAGATGGCGGTCAATTTGTAAAGAAACACTACGCACCTGCACACATACCTATAGACTAAACATGTAATACGCATGACATCACCATTTTCACAAATTCACGTTTTTGTAGTTTACACGGAGACGATAAAGGCATCGTTTTCATAAACTTCCACTTTGAAACCTGTTTTCAAAAGTTTGCTGTTGTTGTGTAAATTAACGACCAAAACACATACAATTTTTGATGTTTTTAGTTGAAAATAATGTCATGTAAACGCCCCCTCTCTACTTCTCACACATGCACCATGTTTGTAGTTTTTTAACACTTTTATTTGTGTTTGTAGTTCTAATCGAATCCGCTTTCAATACGCAATGGGTTGTGGCCAATATAAGCCATTGCACTTCGAATTTTCACCGTAAATAGTAAACCATCCCTGATACTCATTTCAACATACTACAATTCACGACACACTAATGCCGAATTCTATTTATACAACTCATGATATCCTAGTCTCTAGATATGATTCAAATCTCTCCTTCAATGTAAATCTACATGATTTTTCTCCAATACTTACACGTCTCCATCCCCTCGTCATCTTCATCGGGGTTGACTATGGTCACACCTGGCTTGTCGTAAGACTTGTCGATGGCCGCCCGGAAGCTCTCGTTGCAGCCCCGGCCCCTGATGATTCTGGGGCGTGGCCTGTGGAACGAGACATCTCCGTTGAGTGTCGCCTCGGCAACAGCTGTCTGGAGGCTCTCCAAGGAACTCGACTTCTTCAAACCCAACGACGGTCCCAAATCTCGTGTGGAGTTGCCTTGGGGTGGAGAAAGAGAGAGAGAGTAAAGAAAACATGCCAGAAAGAGAAGAAAAAAGATGCCGTCTCACTTTTTTCCTCAATAAATCTTTCCCTCCTAATTCACTTTTATAATTTACATCCCTCGCTGAAGACAAATGTGCATATTGGGGTTGAGTTTATCTGCAGATGGAGGGTGAAAAAAGTGTGCTAAAATAATATGAAATATAAATGGCTCCACTGGATGCAAAGTGAGGTGTCAGATTATCCGTCTTGCATCCGTCACATTTTTAACTCTTGAGGTCATTTTTGCCTCTTTTTCCCCAATGTACTGTATGTGTGTGTGTGCGAGACGGTGAGGGAAAATGCGCATAACTCCTTTCTGTAGTTTAAGGCACTGATGGATGGCCCAAATATGAGGCCCATTATCTTCCCTGTGTGGTCGTGGGAGGAGGTGGAGGAGAGGATGTGGAGAACAAGAGGGAGGAAGAGCAAAAGCTTGTAGACTAAACACGCTTTGAGACTCGGCCCGTTCAGATCCTAGCCGAAACTCCCTCAACTCGTCTGCTTAATGACCTTTTCATGCATTTAATCCACTTGTTTCTCGTTAAGGGTTCCTCACAAAGACACAGCAGGCACACACTTCAAACATGCGCCAGTGCGGAGACAACATTAATCCTGCTTATGGAATCCTGTAGAGGAAGAATTCTAGAAATGCCTCAATGGGAGCGAATGGGCTTGGCTGCTCGGGTCAGGGATTTGCATGTGTGTGTGCAGAGCACAAATAGAACACTAAATGAGTAAAAAGTGGCTTTGGAGAGTGAAAAAAAAATGTCTCCTTTCCTTACATGTAAACGGAACATAACATGGTTTAAATGGAAATGGAATTTTTTTTTTTTTCATTTCTTTTTTCTGTGTATTTATTTAAACATTTATTTAGTATCCCTTTTTTAAATCTCTTAATTTAAAAAGGAAATTTGGTGTAAAAATAACAAACTTAATTTACTCATTAAACAAAGTTAAACCTATTTTGCAATATAACATTTTCAAAAAATAAAATAAAATAAATATGCTGATTTGCTGCTCAAGAAACATTTCTGATTATTATCAATGTTGAACACAGTTCTGCTGCTCAATATTTTTGTGGAAACAAGCACATTTACCCAATATTTTTTTGCTGATTAAAAAGTACAACGAACAACATTTATTTGAAAAGTAAAACTGAAGTTTTGAACTGTAATTTTAAAAATACACTTTCATGGCCGGTGTAATATTTACTAAAATACTAAATATTGACAATGAAATATTTAAGGCCAGTAAACATTTTCAATTCATGTTCAGCTGGCTCATGTGGTACAAAGCTAATTTTGGATCCCATGTACATGTGAATTTGTGATGTGATGTGTGTGTGTGTGTGTGTGTGTGTAACCGTGCGAGCCATATGGAACAGACTCTGAAACAGTTGCCAAGTACTAAAAATGATCTAAGCCACCTGCATGATTGGATAAAATAGTCTGTGTACCTCTAACAATAAACATTGATAAATGCCAGCATGCACGACTGCTTTACACACAAATGCGTGCACGATAGTTTCAGTGATGTATGATACCGCTGCACAGCACATAAAATCTCTCAGATGAACTCTAGATGATGCATTAATGTGAGTCCAGCTGTGTGCGTCTCATTGAAATGTACAGCGCAATGGGTCGGCGCGCGCACGCTCTAACACAATTAGCATGCAAATTATATATAAACAAACGTTAACCGACAGCAGCGCTACAGTTCTCGAGAGCGCAGCCGAGGCTGCCGTTCCTGTTTGCTGGTGTAGCGTAAACGCGTCGTTTCTCGCTCCAAGACCTTCACGTCAGATATTGATGGAAAATGTGTCGGCTGCGACGCTGAAAATACAGCCCTCAAACTCTAGCATTTAACGGGCCTCCCGCTTGGACAGCTGTAATTATTTTTCCAATGGCTGCTGTTCTGTGTTTAGATTTGGCTAGTGAGGCGAGACTCGGGCACTGGCTGCTCATTCTGTCAGTGAACGCCTGTTTAAGGGCCTCAAGAACAGCGACCCTGAACCGAGGGTCAGCAGGGAGGATTGGTTTAAAAATATGGGTCAATGAAATATAGAGTGCTCACAAAAAAATATATGTATACATAAATATATATTTTTTTTTCTTAAAGATACATTATTATTATTATTAAAATAAAACATGAATTTATATTAATGTTGGTTTCATATGATTTTGAAAAACGTTTATATTTTCAAGTTTTTTTTTTAATTGAATGCTTCAAAAAAATTAATGTTGTATAATCATAACATAAAAAATATAAAATTTTTGTCCTTGAAAACATGGGTGTACACGTTTTATATAATATAATATAATATATCTATAAATAATAATAACATATACAATATAACAAAGAGTGAAAAATTTATGGGGGTCTGAATACTTTCCGTACCCACTGTATATATAGAGTATATATCTTTTTTTTAATTTATGTTAATTATTTTTTATTTATTTATTTTTTTTACATTTTGTTTTTAAACTTTAAACTTATGAAATTAAACTGATAGATTAAAGTACACAAAAATAGCCTCATATCACTCAGTCATACAGAGATTACAGATGCAAACAGAGCTGCAATCAGTGACGCAGGTTCAGGCACATTTAGGACCTCGAGAACTTCCTGGATTTGACGTTGCCATTTCAGTAGACCTTAAAAACTGTCTTTCTATACATGTGAACGTCACATATGGTGGCACTCTGTGTAAACATAGCTGTCTTTCAGTCTCTCTCATTCTCGTTCCTCCTCTCAGATGATGCGTTGAGCTGGACCCGATGGTTTGGTCCTTCTCCTAAAAACATCCTCCCTCCATCTACAGCACGCTGAGATTCCTGACTGCTTTCAGACGCTAAATGGAGCGTTTCTGCCGGCCGCGGAGCTCACAGCCCATCCTCAGCAGGAGAGACGTGAAGCAAAACAGCCATTAGCTTAGCAAAATAAACCTCCAACATCGTAAGAAAACAATTAGAAATCTATTACCTTCCCTTGAAAGACGAGTGCTTTAAACATTGTTTTAAACATCAGTATAAGGGGACTGACTGCTTATAAATGATTCCAGGTGTTTTGAGGTGTAGGATAGTAAACCAAACCAGAGCCGATGCTGTTAGCATTCGTTCACAACTGTTAGCAGCTTCTGAAGCCATGGATCCTTTATAACCCTCCTGATGCTTTAACCAAATAAACCAGCGCTGCAGAAGCTACTGATTAACCTAACCAGTGCCAAACCAGTGACTGACCTCAAAAAACTGAACCATGCTGAGCTGGCCAGAGACTCACGGTCTCCATATTCATGAAATCTTTCATTTACAGGAACAGTAAGTCACCGCAAACACAGCTGCTTTGGCTGGTGAGAACATGACAAATGATTTTTGAGGGACATTTAAGACTCCGCAAACTGAAAGTGTGTCTGTCAGTGTGAGATTTCTAAGTTCATTCAAGATTGAGAATTCTGCCATAATTTGTCATTCCAAATTCATGTGACAGTGTTTCTTTTGTCTAACACAAAAGGTGATTTTGTCAAAATAATGACAATAATTAAGGTTGGGATTTGTTAAGCTCCAGAATAAATAAATAAATAACAATGAGTGACAATGAATAGTTACAAAAAAAAAAAACATATAATAGTAATATAAACATATAGTAATAATATAAAAACAACTAAAAAGGATATAAATTTGGGGTCTGTCAAGCTCCAAGAATAATAAAAAACCGTAATATAAAAATAATATTAGTAATATATGAAAATGAATGAGCACTGGGGCTTCCAGGTCCAAAGAGTTTTTTTTTTTATAATTTTTTAAAAATAATTTAATGTAAAAAGTGAAATTGAACAAGGACTAGGGCTGTCAAGCTCCAAAAATGATTCGAAAAACACCATACAAGTACCATAAGAACACGCAAAATAACTTAATATAAAAATAATGTTTGTAAAATTATAACATAAATATAAAATTAACATAAAAATAAAAAAGTGAAAATGAATGAGGAGTGGTGCTGTCAAGCTCCAAAAATGATGAAAAAAACACCATAAATGTTCCATACAAATTATTAAAATAATGTAAAAGAAAAATATTATTAGTAAAAGTATAATACAATTATCATATTATTATAAAATAATTAATTAAAATAAATGTGGACAGGGGTATCAAGCTCAGAAAATGACATAAAATGTATCAAAAAAAGTACCATAAAAAGTTAAAATAACGTAATATAAAAATAATATTAGTAAAAGTATAATACAAGTATGATATTAATGTAAAAATAACTAAGTGAAAATAAATTAGGACTGGGACTGCAAGCTCAAAAAATTACAAAAAGCACAATAAAAATTATCTATGTGACTCTGCACAGTGTTCCTGGTTTTGCTGAAGCAAGTCTATCCAAGTTTTGTGTGAGGAACAGACTGAAATTATTATTTTTTATAAAGAAAATCACCTTTTCTTCCAGAAGTCAGTCAGTCATGCAGAATGACAAAATATGTATTCCAGACTAAACCTTACTAATAAAGGCCTTAGACAGCAGTTCTCATGTCCACCTGTAAACTAATGCAGACCATCTCATCCCACTTCAGCTCTCCGTATCTGCGTCTGTCTGTTTCTTATTAACAGAAATGAAAAAGGAAAGAATCCAATACATCTGGCACGCATGTGAACTAATATCTTGTCCCATATGCTGGAGAAGCTCTTTAATCAGCAAGCTCCTCGTAGCATGTGAACACGAGGCTTTCAGAGCTTTACACACAAATCTGCTACAGTGAAGAGCGGGATCCAGCAGATAAAACCCACACAAATGACATCTGCATCGCTCTCAGTCCTGGAATAATCAAACCGCACACCACTGAGTCTCCTCTGAGCAAAACACGGCAAGGAACGGAAAGCTCATAATTGTGTTTTGTTCCTTCTTTCTTTTTTTCACCAAGAAGGATTTTGATGTGCAACCCTCACTGGATCAAGCCGCTGTGATTCTTATCACGTCACATACGCTAGTTTTATTGGCATGATCTCACTGCATTTTTTTCCCTATTATTTTGCATCTAGGTGAGAAAAAGTGCAGTTATATTTGGTTGGTATTGTATTAGATGGTAATACATATTATGGTCCTGAATGACTTTCATATTCATATAGCATTTGTATAGCACCATGGTACTGGTATTCTTGGTTTCAGTATTGTGTACAGTACAAAAAAATCCATATATATATATAGCACAATGTTATCAAGCTAAAGGCAGTCCAATGAAAAATGAAAAAATGAAAAAAAATAAATAAATAAATATATTTATATATTTTTTTTTTTTTTTTTCACAAGCATGCATTGAACCGATTAAATTATTACAAAAAAACATTTTAAATAAACTGAACATTCTAGTTTACTCTATATTTCTATGATGCTGAAAGCTCCGCTTCAGGAATACATTACATTTTCACAATATATTCACATAGAAGACCATTATTTTAAACAATATTGATCGAATAGTACAGTTTGGACTGCATTTTAATCAAATAAACACAGTCTTGGTGAGCAGAAGAGATTATACTGATCCCAAAATTTGAAAAAGGAAGTGTGTAAGACACTTACTTAACAAATATTCCCATGGTATCACTACAGTATCCAAAAAAAACATCATTATACCATGGTACTTTAAGTGGACGGAGAATAAAATGCAGCGAGACATAACTGTGAAGATATATCTATATCATAAAGCGCCTTTAATTATCAACCCCTCAAAGTCATCTCGAGCACTTGAGCGGTTTAACGCTAAAGCAAAGCAGTGTTCCAGCGATGAACCGTGCTGTGACCGCGCTATTGTTAAGATGGCCAGCGATGTCCTCATGAGTGATACTCGAGGAAACACAGGCCAGCATTTGCGTATGAAAGCGCCATCCATCGCATGTAATTTATTCAGCAATCTGTAATTTTATGCATCAACTTAAAAGGGTTATTAGGTTAAAAGTAGCTCCGCGGCGGCCAAGGAGGTTTCATCCTGCTGTGTCCAGGAAGACTGAAGGAGTCTCGGGGTTAGATCACCCTCCATTCCCGCCTGTCCTGGATCATTAGTGGACCAGAGGATGTCCAGGTTGTCCCTCGCTCCTCTACATCTGTCCTAATTAACCTCTAAAGCCACGAGCCAATCAGTCAAGACACTTTCATCTGTCTCATTGGCGTAATGATATCAGTGATGCTCAGAATCTGCTGAGTCACTTCCACATTTCTGCTCAGTCAGAGTCAGACATCACTCACTGCCACTTTGAAGGTTGTAAGCAAAGATGACTTTATGTTAGCCGCTCTTAACCAGAAGGGTTTGAGGTTTATTTACTTACTATTAAGCCAAACCCTAATCCTAACCCTAGCCATATAGTAAGTACATGTATAGTTAATTAATATCACTCAGTACTTAAATATATAATTACACTGTAACAAGGACACCTTAAAATAAAGTGTAACCAAAATTAAAAATAATGGTAACACTTTACAAAAAGACTCTGTTTGTTAACATTAACTAGCAATGGGGGAAAACCCTTCTAAAGAGAATTTAATTGCTAAAATCAAAAGTTGTATCTGATAATATTATTTAATGGAGCTAACATTAATTAAGTAACAGTTGTGTTTTTATTAACTAACATTAACAAACATTAATAAGTACTGTAGCAAATGCACCACTCATTGTTAGTTAAAATTAATTAATGCATTAACCAGCTTCAACTAATGGAACCTTATTCTAAACTACTAGCAAAATATTAATCATAACTATAATAGCATCTCAGTGATACTAAAATAGCACTGAAACAAACACACTATCATTTTACACTATTTATTAATAAGTTATGACTGACAGACAGCTAAAAAAAGACTCACAGAGTTTAAGAAAGTACAATTGAAACTGTCCCAATGGAAGACGCTTAAGCACACTTTTATTAGAAAAGTGGGTTGTGAACTGTAAAAACAGTGAAAGCAAGTAGATAATGTAAGAGGTATTTGAGTATTTCCAGCCACGTGACTAATATGCAACTCCTATTTTAACTTGCATATATTTAACATGCAACTCCTAAAATCTATTCAATTCCCGCTTTACTTTTCTTTTCAAGGATATCTCATATAATGGAAATAAAATGGGTTGCGAATAGCACTTCATGTTGACTTTAACACAGAATAGCTTAGACTTTTTTGACAGAATGAATTTTGGACATGACTCTGAACCGCCGGTCTCCACACATCTCCCAGCATGACTGTGTGCTCCCTGCGCTGTAACTGGAACTCTCTGCTCCAGACGCCTGGCATTGATGGATTAATTGCAGTAAGCCAAAGCGGTCCGTCTGACATTGAAGCAAACAGACTTCAGCAATCTCTCCTCACGCACACACACATGCATGCATGCATACATACACACCTCTGTTTCTTTCCCTATTCCAGCAGCCCTCGGCATAATTCATGTTTTCTTCCATCATAGTCCCTCGAGAACAGGCAGTGCGCCTCGCTTTCCAAAAACAGTTGTTGCCAAAACGTCTATTTAACACCATGGCACTTCATTTCAATGGGAAAAAAAGAAAGCAACACCCTCTGATTTGATGGCAATTACTTCAAATGACTTCCTTAACGAGCACAATTCACACAGTCGTTTAGTTAGATTGATTACGAACAGTTAACAGCAGATAGGAGAGTCATGAAGTCAAAGGGGGGCGTTTGGAAGGGTTTTTCCAAGCGCAGGTTAAACTTGTTGCTGGACTCATTTCCACCGTCACTGGTGGTCTCGCGCCGTTCATTTGTCATTCTAAGAATACTGCGGCTCTGTTCCAAAACCTAGCGAGTCGCCTTGCTGTCTACTGCCTGCATAGTGCATAGGGAGCATCTAAATGATAATTGAATCTCATCTCCAAAATCACTATTGATTCTTATAGAGTTAGCATGTTGCTAAGCTAAAAACAAATATATACTGGGTAAAATGGACTATTAGATCAATTCTTAAAACAATGCTTTCTATACCTATCACAGTCTTTTTTTATAAAAATAAAACAAGTCAAAATAATAGAAAAAGAATAGAGAATGCTAGTGTTATATACATATATATATATATATATATATCATAATGGCACTTGAATAGCTAACAGCACATAAACACTAGGTAAAATAGTGCTTTTTATTGAGAATTAAAAATAAGTAAATAAATAAATAAGTAAATAAATATATATATATATTTTTTCCCCCCACTATGCTCCCAGTGCAATATGGTGGCAACATAATGCAGCTGCTGACTGCTTTACTAGGTTTTGAAACAGAGCTCCGGAGATTTATCTCAAAAAGTGTTTAAGATCTTTTCAAACACCATTAGAAGTCCACCAAAACATCAGCATGCCCAGACACACAGAGATGCGGAGCGTGTGTGAGGTTAGTGTCCCTGACCGGTGGCCTTACCTTCTGTCCTCTCTGTGCAGGGAGTGAGGTTAAACTCGTCGGCTACTGTTAGGGAGGCATAAACAATTGTGACTGGTTAATTCAAGACGTTCCACCATTCCCAAACCCATGCAACTCATTCCATTACAGATGTTACTTGACATTTCCAAAGGCCAAACCAAGAGGCATGCAAATCACTCTGTGAAAGTGAAACAAGACGTGAGACAGATGGTCAAAGTGGGAAAACCCATGAGATGGTGAGAGAGAAGGACAGAACTGAATGAATTATCATGCCATAACATTCAAAAGCATTGGCCAGATATATGTGTTAGGTGGTTTTAGCTCCATCTACCAGGTGTAACCTATTCCTTTTTGTCCCTCTCGGTCTTATCACACATAGGGTAGTTTTTTTGTTTGTGTTTTTTTTTTCCTGTAATTTCCCCCATGTTGGCTCTCAGTTATGTCTTTAGACTGTTACTGGAGATTGTGCTCTTCTAAAAGCCTGAGAGGAGCAAAAATATATGCTCAACCTGAAGGCAGAAATGGCATTTGAAGAAAATGGCTCATCAGAACAAAGCACAGCAGATTTGGTGGAATTGAAATGTGCTTCTAATGAGTAGAGAGGAGAGGGCTTTAATTGGGGCTCGTTTGAAATGACGGCCACATCTGTCCTGCTCTAAACGCATTCCATTTATTTATTTAAAACTGCTGAAGAAATAAGCACATTTCTCAGACTTTTTCAGATTCTGTTAAAGGCAGCTATTTATTTATTCATTCATTCATTCATTTATACATTTAAATTTTGGGGACTGTAAGATATTTTATTGATTTTTGAAAGAAGTCTTTTATGAAAAAATACAGTAAAATAGTAATATAATGGTATATTTTAAAATAACTGCTTTCTATTTGAATATATGTTAAACTGTAATTTATTTCTGTGATGCGCAGCTGTATTTTCAGCATCATTACTCCATTCTTCAGTGTCACATGATCTTCAGAAATCATTCTAATATGCTGATTTGCTGCTTAAGAAACATTTCTGATTATTATCAATGTATATTTTTGTGTATATATTTGCAGAATATTTTTGTGGAAACCGTGATTTATTTATTTATTTATTTTTGACGAATAGAAAGCTGAAAAACAGCATCTATTTGAAATAGAAATATTCTGATTTAATTTAAATAACATCACCATATATATAAATTTCACACAGTTATACATAAAACAAGATTTATGTAAACAATTTAGATTTTTATAACTATCCTAATTATTTTATGTATTTTTGTTTTTAGAATTACTAGGTAACTATGAAATTATTAAATATTATTAAATGATATTCATCTTTTTATTCTTACTCTTATTCTAAATGTCATTCTTATGCTTTAAATTTTAACAGAGTAACCATTTCTAATGTAGTTCATCACATTAAGTATAGACATCATCCCAAAAGAGTCAGAAAATTTTTGTCTCAATTTTGAGAAGTATGTTCTTAAATGCTAACTACCTTCAGTTTGTGCCATCTTTAACCCTTTAAGTATCCAAAAACCACTGTATATTTGTGGTTAGTGTGTACAGTACTTTATGCGTGTAACATCTGAACACCAAAACTGATGCGTGTGATACACCTCAACTCTCACATCCAGAGTCGAACTCAGTTAAAGCTTGATGAGGCACTGAAGTGAGTCTTATCTGCTGCCAAAAGACATTCCCTTCTCTCTTTTTCTGTGCGTTTAAGTGCTATATCACCTTCCACTTTTGCTAGTGAAGTGTAAAGGGCGAGACGTGTCTCGAGTGTCTAGTCTGGTGTTGAGCGAGCGGGGCTTGGTCCGGTCTCAGGAGGCGCTGGTCTTGATGTTGGCTGAGGATAAAGAGAGGAGGAGGAGGAGGAGGAGGAGGAGGATGAAAGCGATGTTTTATCTCCTCCGATTAGCCGCGCGGCCATGCGGCAGAAGCTCTGCGTCTCCTGAGATGGGCCGCTTCGCTCTCAACAACCCTGACCTGTCCTTGAGTCCCTCAAACCCACCTCAGAGGTGAGCTGAAGGCCTACTCTGAGAGATGAGTGATAAATATGTTAATTAGGAGAGAAAGGGATGCAAAAAGTCTGTTTTTGCCATCATTTTTAATGTTTAAAAACTCTCTGTGCTCTTTTAAGTTTGGTGAAGTCATTACTGTGTCTGATACGGTTAGCTTTAACGTCAAGCGCTGCGCTCGCATTCGCACCCCGGCTGCTGGATTGCAAAGGAACAGGAAGCAGCGAGGCAGGGCACAGGAAGTGGTTTGGGGAGTGCTATGTTGAGTGTGAGGTTACCTAGGTCCATACTCTTCGACTTGCGACTCGTGATGATCTCCAGTTGAGCGGCATCGCTGTACTGTTTGGTCCGCTTTTCTGACATGCTCTGCCGGCCGAAGCCTTCCCTCTGAAACACACCATCCATATCTGCGTCTGGACGGAGTGTGCTGAGAGACAGGAGAAATATGAGCTTTCTTTGTATTATTTATTATACAATTAAGACTATTATAGACTATTTAGACTAGAATAATTAATATTATATTAAATGATCAACATTAAATTAATCAAGGAACATACATACATACAAACATACATGCACACATAAAAATCAATCAATCAATCCTGTCACTGTTGTTTTTTTAATGAAAAATATTAATGAAAAAATAAAATTCACTGTGCTCAACTTTAGTCTTGGGGGCGTAGATCAATCAGCAACATCATATTCTAGGGATCTGTACTCGCTTAATCTTAATCACTTTCAATTTATTTTAATTTAGCAACAGAGCAAACAACAATCAGACGTTTCGGCAGCAAGCCTTCTTCAGTCATCATATAGTGACGTTTCCTACAAGAGTTTTTTTACTCCCTTGTAGGAGAACAAAAAAAAACTTTAAAAACTCTTGTAGGAAACATCTGATTGTTATTTGCTCTGTTGCAAAATTAAAATCAATTGAAAGTGATTAAGAAGTTTAAGCGAGTGCGGATCCCTTAATGAAAAATAATAAATAAATGATAACGATAATAATAATATTTGTATTATTTATTATACAATTTAAATTGATACTCCTAAAATATTAACATAGCAAATGACTGATATTAAATCAATCAATAAATAAATCCGGTCATTGTTGTTTTTATTTTTGTTTTTAAGTAAAAATATTAGCATGAAAAACCTGCATGATGATGGTGATAAACAACAACAACAACAACAACAACAACAACAACAATAATAATTGTATTATTTATTATACAATTTGATTGATACTACTAAAATATTATTATAGCAATTGACTGTTAAATAAATAAATAAATAGCCTGCCATTGTTGTTTTTATGTTTATAGGGTGACTGAAAACTGAATATAATACTACTACTACTGCTACTACTACTAATAATAACAATAATAAAAATAACTTTTATTTTTGTTCTCATTGAAAAATTTTGGCAACCTACATAATAACAATAATGATATCTTATTTTTTATTATAGATTGCTATTACTATATTAAGGCAGTCGTGGAATAATGGATAGAGAGTCTGACTTGCAACCCGAAGGTCGTGGGTTCGAGTCTCAGGTCCAGCAGGGATTGTAGGTGGGGGGAGTGAAT